AACATTGGTCCGCAAGCACGCGATAGTGTACTTGCAGTGCTGCCGGACCCAATACTTGGATCTACCCCACACTAGCTCTATCGGGTTGATCTCGCAGTGGAACTTGGGGAGCATGATTGCCACTCCTCCATGGCGCTTCACTAACACCACTAGGCTAGGCTCTACGCTCGCGAAGTCCTCCTGCGTACCCAACACCACCGGCATACGCAAAACGCTGGGTCATACTTCTGTTGGCCTTTCTTGATTCCTTTCAAGCTCATGTCCGCGTTCCAGAGCCCCCTCTCAAATAAAACTTGCTTTAGCCCCTTGAGCTTGCCAATGTAATCCTCGGCACCCGGGTCGTAGAAAGGACTCTCGCCCTCCTGAAAGGTGAGGTACTGCACCGTCCCTTTCTTGAGTTTGGGCGTGTCTGCCAATAGGGTCGTAGCGTCCTGGGCAGTTAGCTGTTTACCCTTCCTCACCCCCCCCGTACCCGGCGTTCATGCGAGTTGCGCTCGGTGCCCCGTCTTCGACACAATCGTGGCGAGATGACCAGTCGAAAAAGCATATGGGCTTGTGCATCGGATACTTAACCGCCAAGAGGTCCAATACATCTGCCATGTGTTCAACCATCTTCGCGCCCGTCCAGTAGCCGTCCCTGCTCTTGCCGTACTCGAATCTGTAGTAGGTCCAGAACTTGCCGTCTTCGTCCTTGTAGAGCTTGTCGATGTTACGATACGTCTCTGGCTTGGTCGGGTCACCTGCCGCGTGTTCGGTTGCGGAAGTATCGCACCACTTGCGCCGCAAGGCTTGCGCCTTGTCGATATCAGCCTGGTCACTCGCAACGAACCCCACGTTGTCGACGATGGTGCCAGAGATCATAATGCCTTGACCGTCTCCCTTCTTCTTGAGCGCGTGATAGTTGGGTGGCACCCACGCGAAACGCTGGCCGTCGTTGGCCCTGTAGATGCACTCGTCCTGGTAGCAGAAGATCGCTCTTCTGCCGTCAGAGTAAGTTTTCTTGCTGGTGACCCTCTCGCGGAGATGCTGAGGAAGTTCGGAGAGGGTCTCCTTGAAGGCATGCACGCAAACCCAAACACGCCCATCCTCTTGCCTGTCCTGCTCTTGCACTTGCACCTCCCAGGACCGCGCCTCGTCCGAAGTCGCCTCGATCCAGATCTCCATGTAGTCGCGGTGCTCAAAGTACGCCGGGAGGTACTTCTCGACCCGGTACGCGAGCACGTCTTCGCGGTCATGGCCGTTAAAGTACAGGCCCGACTTGCGATCGCAGTACTCGCGCCCCAGCTTGTACAGCCAAGAGCGCGCCGTGCGAACGGTCACCGAGTACGACACCACTATCTATCCTGATGCCGTTTCAGTCGTCGCCTTGGTGACAGGAGCGTGCTTGAAGGGATCGTAGTCACACGTTTTGGTGTCTGCTACCTGTGGCAAGACGTCCTTGTTGAGGTACTCGCGGAAGCCCTCGGCTGTCATGTTGGGCTCCCCATTTTTGATAAAGTTCACGCGGATCCATTGGCGTACCATCACGAGAAGAGCCTCGTCCANGTGCGGGATGGAAAGGGAGCAAAAGCGCATGCGTTGCACGGAGGGAGCATGTTCACAGCAACGGCCGGCGAGCTTGTTGAGCTACAGCAGTACTATTTTATGTTCATCGCCACATACAGAGTTTACGGCACATCTTTAATTGCGGTTGAAACGGATGTCTGCTACATATCTCCTCTCACCTGGATATGGCCCTTGGTGCGGTAGGAAAGCTCCCACCACGGAGGGTGCTGGATGGNCAGTCGCGCGCAACTTCACCCAGACATGTACATGGGGCGGCATCACATCAAATATACGGCAGCAGCAGGAGCAGCATAGCGACAACCGCACAGTACTACAACCAACAGCAATGCTTGCAGCACGAAAAATGCGATCAACGCATGCATACATTTACACTGCATCGTGTAGCCCAACATCTCTTACGTTNAGCAGCAGGAGCAGCATAGCGACAACCGCACAGTACTACAACCAACAGCAATGCTTGCAGCACGAAAAATGCGATCAACGCATGCATACATTTACACTGCATCGTGTAGCCCAACATCTCTTACGTTAGTCCAGCAGATGTGACTGCTACAGCGGATTGGCATTCCTTGATGACGGCGCGGAAATAATCCTGCCCCCTCTCCCAGCCCGATCTACATGCAGCAGATGCTGCGGCCGCCTTTTCCAGCTGCGATCGATGCTTCGCCAGCTTGCGAAGAGCCTCCTTCCTGCCCACACCTCTGTTGCTCTGGCGCTTGAGGAACGCTGGTCGATAGACCCTTTCTTGCTGGTGCGCCTCCTTCACTGCATCCAACATCGCTCCAGGAAGATCGCGCGAGACCATCTGCGCACACTGGAGCTGCCCTTGCTCGAGATAACTATTGAGCTGTTGCGCAGCTTGGCGAAGCCTCTTCCTGCCGTAGCTTCCCTTTGGTCTGCCTGCTCCAGGGCGTGCTCCGCCGCGCTTTCCAGGCGGTGCATCCGGTGGATTCCGCAGCATGTTGACAGTCCCGCGGCCTCTTTTCTCGGGGAGGCGCAGCTTTGGCTTCGCCTGCACTTGCATCGTTGTGGGGCACGTTGCCGCTACAGAAGGATGGCCGCCAGGTAGCAGCCCACCGGTCCTCGGCCGCCCAGTCGCGACCCGTGGTTCTGCCTTCCGCAAACGTGATGTGTGGGCTGCACCAGCGCTGTCTGGATCCATGCACTTGGGCCGTCAGTTGCATACGATACTTCTTCGGAGCCTTGTGCTGATGCACACTCACCAGCTTACCACCACGATGAGCCAAGGTTGCCAGTATGGTCGCCAGGGACTTGTCGCGCAACTTAAGAGCCATGGGCGTGGACCGCTACCTCTTCATGTGTGGCAGCCGTTGGGGCTGATGTGGGCGACAAAAATTGAAATGGTGGTTCTGATTTTTGTTACGTTCTGTATCAACGAGTTCGGGGATGATTCCGCCGCAGTAAAATAGTTCTGAAAGAGAGCTTTTCGAATCTGCAATGTTTTTTGCGGGGTTTGCCGTTGTTGAGATATGGCGATTCTTGTGGGATGAAAAGCTTTCTGCTATGGTGGTACTGGGGGCATATCTTTCTTGAAAGCCTGAACCCCGCGCTGTGAATGGGCTTATTCGATCGCTGCTGATGAGAGCTTCCTCACGAATATTTTGATTCCGCTCAATTTGTTGATGAAGGTTATTTATTATTTCAAAGCACCCGTATTCGGCCTGACGAATGCCGGCACTGTATCACACTTTTGCCAGACAACGAGAGCCGACTACATGGCACAGAGCAGCAATAGCAATTTCCATATTTTTCTTGTTTGCGATACGAGCCGTAGGATGATGAACTCACGAAAATAGTCTACATTTACACAGAAAGGACAAAACTTGAGAAGAAAAACAAGGAGTACACAAGGAGCATGCATACCCAGAGAATGATGTCAAGCTACTCGCTGTGTTGCTGTGGCAATGACCGCCGTTGGAAATACACACATACGCATAGGACGTGAAAGTATATAGTAGTTCTCAACGAGACCTTCACACGGGCGACACATCCGATGGACGTACACCCAACCTTGTCAGTCAAGACTCTCCCATTGCCATCCAAGACGAATAGACGGAATACATGCTGCTGGAAGACCTGCACGCAAAACCAATTAAGCATGCATCGCAAGAAAACAAGCCATTCACCAACCACACATTGCAAGACACTGGCGCGAGTTTGATGCTTGTCGAGATACTTCATTGCCCAAGAACGCGCGCGCCTACCAAAATAAACTGTCGAAAGATATCGGGCGAACTCGGAAAAGAGACACACCAGGCTACCGCTAAGTAAGGTAGAGGGGCATACGTACCCATCCAACCCGATGAGAGTCCGGAACAACCAGCATACGCATTTAGGGCGGCGTCTCGCTGCCCAACACATCGGCTGCCGCCCTCTATAGCCCAACCTTGCGGCGATTAACACAAACAGCTTCACCAAGCAGCGGACACACCATCTTCATACCGGAGACAAACCATCTCTATGTGAGCTTTATACATGGCGACAACACCAGAGTATAGAATTTGCACGTAGGCAGGTAGCACCTGCGCCTAAAACACACGTTGACATCAACCCTTCCGCTGCCGCTCGACGCTGCATTCAACGTATCAATGTACGTGTCTTACAGCGGCGTCGTGCTGACACGTACTGCGCGTGCCCGCGACTGCGACCAAGCACCGGCGAAACAAAGGCAAGGGTAAGGGTAAGGGTAAAACCGACAGCGTTGCACATCGAGCCGTGGCAGTCCAAAAATAAAAAAAACTTCAGCATACATCACGCGACCGGGACACTGTAAGCCGTATGGCGGACTGATCGAAACACACCTGGACTACATACAGCAGCCTGGAAGCACCCATCACCACAATTCCTTGCACCTCTCTATGCAAAGCTTGGGGTGACGCAACCTTGGTAAAAAAGACAATTAGACACTAAACAAGTATTCACTCGTCACCACCGTTGTTATCGTACTCTTACAAACGGCGACCGCCTCGTCCATACCGGCTACGGTTGATGCTGGGGCTGGTCACAGACTTGGTTCAGCAGCGGCTACACTCTCATTTTCGACGGGCTCATCTCCACTCCGCAACTCCTCCTTCACTTTCGCCTTCGCCACCACTGTCGCCTCCAACGCGTTCCTGAAGAACAACGATCGGATCGACACCTTGTACGAGAACGGATCGACCGAGAGAGGAGACGCCGGCCCTACCCCCCTAACCGCCGACTCGAACGCGCGCTCCGAGACCCCGATAGTTTCGAGCACCTCATCCAGTCCCGGGTTCTTGCCGCCACGGCCTTCCGCCCGCGCCGCTGCGCCTTCGATAGCCCGCCACAGCCGCCTCTCGATATCCTCTTCCCCCGGACCGTGCACAGACCCCCCCCGCTTCCTTTCCAGCTCCGTGCGAAGGGAGACCAAGAACGCCTTCACCCCACCACGGGCCGCCCGGCTCTCTCTCGTCGCGAAACGATTCACTGACGCGTGCAGGGCCAACGGGTCTCGAGAGTTTCGGGCGGCGAACCCAACTCGCACGAGGTCAAGCATGCCCAAGCCGACCTTCGAGATGATGTACTTGGCAAGGTCCTCCTGTCGTCCTCCCTTCCAATTTCGACTCGCCGCGATTGGGACGCATCCGACCGCCACTTGCTGCGCCTCGCTCGGCGCCAGCGGGNGGGGGGGGGGGGGGGGGGGGGGGGGGGGGGGGGGGGGGGGGGGGGGGGGGGGGGGGGGGGGGGGGGGGGGGGAGCGTACTCTTATGTTTTGCATGCCTTAGCGGTTAGACCATTGACCACGCGTCCTCGAGAGGACGGAGCATTGTTCCCACAGGACCGATCACCGATGGCCAATCGTTCCTTTTTACGTTGCCAAAGGTGGCTCAAAAATGTCTTCCCTAGTCTGTCTATCCTAACGATATACCTTCCCGCCTTTTCAACCCACCTCCAATGCCCCAGTACAGCTAACGTCCTTTGCTCTCTATTCCATGCCTCAAAAGCCAGTCGGGGGGGTGGACGTTACCGGGAGAGGGGTGGTGTTGGAGTCAGTCGTGGCAATTGAATGGGTTAGCTATTCATTCTTTGGGTACGGCACGGCCTATCGGGTGCATGTAACGACCATCCCGAAGGGAGCTACAATAGCTCAGGGAGACGCATCTATTCAGCCACTCGGTCCACCCTGTGGAGCAACTATTGTAGACGTAAGCACCGCGCTTTCGAGCAGTTTGTGACAACGACAACAATTATTTGTTGGGAGCGGTCCAGTGCAGCCCGTTAGTTTCACAGTTGGGCTGGACTGTGAGGAGACACTTTCTCATCCTGGACGACAGACTCTATCGGAGGAGGATTCGAAATGCAACCACCAAGGCCATGCCATTCGTCTCGGGGTAAACTGGTTGGTTTCCTCGCAAGCTTCTACACCCACGGTCAGTGGTTAAAGCTTTCTTGAATGAATACATTCCTCTTTCGCTTCCATTTATTCCTGGTCGTGGAAAGCACTAGTTGGTGTGTACGTTTCGAGGGAAGACAGGGAGTGCTGCCGACTTCGCGTAAGAAATCGGAGGCAGGCTCCCAAGAGGAGTGGGGGGGGGGCGGAGGCTCAGGGAGAGGAGCCATTCTTCTGTGTGACCACAGATTGGAGCTTCTACATAGTACAAACGCTGTGTGTGAGTGCTGTTCAAAAATGGTAAAAAAAATACCATATGTACTCCTATCGTGTGTGAGTGGACCACCACATTGCCGAAAGCCTCCACGGGTTTGCAGACACACGAACAAGCTTCCGAGAAATCATACCCAGCAGCGACCGTGTGTAGGAAAACGTTTGTGACGAAATCGAAAAGCGCCTTCAGCACCGTAACATCGCCGGGAATCTCGACAAAAAAACGCAGAAAATCAATGAAAGAAGACACACCTTGACACCTTCAACCCGTAGATCCGACAGCGATATCGGCAGCCCGCGAGCGATTCGCGCGGACGGCGCTTCAACCACAAACTTGGCCAGGTTCTCGTCGTCACCCCAGCGTTTGCACGCAAGCAGCACGCCCAGCAGGTCAGTATCCGAGCACCTCTTATCCAGCTCCACTACGACGATGGGCACGGACGCCCCCCCCGGTTTCCAGCCGCGGCCCTTGATATTTCTCAGCGCACTCTCCACAATAAGCGGAGCTGATCCCGGGGCCGTCACCTGCACGGAGCTGGTGTCAATTATCGCCTGGGCCAGAGCGAAAAGCGGGCGGGACACGTCCTTCCCCCACAGCTTCACGTGAACCACAGACTCGCTCGAGTGGAGAGCAAGGCGAACTGCTACCGTCTTTCCCGAGCCCCTCTCGCCGTGGACGAGCAGCGTCGGGTTGTAGCGAGACTGAGCTTCTCGTCTCAGCGCGTCCGCGTCCAGGAGCTTGGGTCGATCAACGAACCCAGGGTTTCCAGGCCCCACCTTCGCTGGCGGCAGGCGGGATGTCTTGATGCTCTCTGCCAGCTTTCGGCTCTGATAGTCAGGGGAACCCGTCACGATAACCTGGCCGACGATAACGATGACCACAAGGCGGCGGGTGCAAGTTTTGCAGGACGGGACTGGACCATAACGTAAACAGCAGTTTAGGGGTAAGGTCAACATCAGGCTAGTCGGGGTTAACAGACCGGCATGGCTTTCTCTGAGCCAAGATGACACAAAGTGAGGAAAAGTTATGGGTGCAGGTGCATAACCCTGTAGACCAGCTGGGTCGGTGTGTTGCAAAACCACATCGACCTAACGGTCACCACAGAACGCTAATGCTTTAAGGCTGGCTTCTATTCACATGCATGCATGCATGCATGCAAACAAATCACACCGTGTCTCCAGCACACGAAAGTCTTCGCTACCGCCCGGTACCACGAACGGACGGGCTTTAAATTCTCGTACAGCATCATGCCACGGAGCCTCATTCTAAAAAAGTGGACTCGAAGGGGGAAATTATCGTGGGTGTGTGCGTAGTCTACAACTGTAGAGGGTAGGAACGTACCGTAATCGTCAGCCTCAATCGTACAAAGCAAGTCCTGCATTCATAGAGGCGGAGATACGTCGGTGCTCCATGCTTCCAGGAACATCGGGGGCGAGAAAACACGTAGACACGACCGACCCGCCGAGCCTTGATCGAGTACATAGCCTACAGTAGATCGTTCTCTATAGCGGCTGTAGCCATGACCTACAGTGGGAAGTGACGGCCTCTTCAGGTGCTCGGTTGGCAAAAAAAAATAATTCCAATGGTGAATGCCACCGTGTCATACATAGAGTAGCTGCTCGTGGCTAGACGCGTTCCGCGCGAAAACGTGAATCTAATGCACGCTTGCACGTGCATACGAGAACGAGTCAGGTTGCCGCCCACGGTGGTACTTGTTGGCAATCATAAATCATAAATCTCAAAAAATAGGAGCGCTACCACATGCTCTCTAGGCTAGGTGCTACGTACGGGCCTCCCAGACAGCAGAGATGACCGATGACCGCACCTGGTATGCCCAGTAGAAGCAGACCACGCCGGCAAGGAGTGTTGGAATTGTTCCGAAGAGAACCCCAACCTGGAAGAGGTTCGCCGAGTTTCCAAGCAAGCGACCAAGCACCGGGAGGGCCAGCATTGCACCCTGGTGCTTCGGCAGCTGGTCCACCTCTGTTCCTGCTTCTGCTCTCGCTGCTGTTCTGCTATGCCGGGCCTGTAGCCAACGAAAACAGCCAGGGGCAGACGGTAGAAATGAAACGTCTAATCTTCAGAACCGCGTTGGGTTCACCAAAGCGTGGGAGTACTTTCAGCCGTTTTGTTTGTTTACCTGAAGAGTACCCTGCCGTATTTCAGATGCGCTTGTTCGGCAGGCCATGGAAGGTGGACCATCGCCTGCAGGTGCTCAAGCCCTGCTATGCGGTGGTGACACACTCGCCCCTTGGTCGGCTCCACCGAGCATGGACAGAGCAGTCAGCTAGATAAACTAGAGCCCGAACAGCTCCCTTGTTTTCACGACGCTTCAAAATGCCGAAAGAAAAAGCTACATGCACTGCGGTGAATCTCGCTCATGGCCTACGATTCAACACGGTGGTAAGAATCGACACGAGTAGTACTTGAATACACCCCGCACTCGTTAGTGAACTCCGCGAAAAACAGCAGGGAGGCCAGGAACAAGGCTATTCATTTCGCTCATCCAGATTTCAATGAGGTACAGCGGTGTGCTGCGAGACCGTAGCTTGCCCCCGCTTTGCCCTGCCGGGCCTCGCGTGGCGACCGTTGGAGCGTGAAAAACAGCGGTGTCTGTCTTAATCTTCATCTCTTGTTGTTTCCATCTATAGGTCCCTTTCTGACCTCTTCCGCATTCATCAAAACAAGCAAACCAATTTCCGCTATCTCAAACCCTGCCTTAGGCGGGAAGAATAAGCCGCAGCGAACACTATCGTTGCACCCCTCCACAAAAAATGGAGCGTTGAGTGTTGATTTTCATCGTTTCATCTCTAACCCGTAGTGCTGAGAGTGGAGTGTTGATTTCGCCGAACATTACATTACAGCAGTAGACTAGCCCCCCCGGAGGAAAGAAATGACAACTTTGGGTCGAGGTCGGGGTTCATTGTCTTCTTTCGCCACCTCCGTCCAGAATAGGTTTATGACACAATAGCAGAATTTAGTGTGGGATGCTCGGCGGAGCTGCGTTTCTGTGCCCATTTTCTCTGTGTTCTTCTCAATCTTCGTGAACATTTGAGACGATTCTTGACTGCTGGCCAGCAACACATGTAGCTGTGTCTATTTGATCAACTCCATTTCCCGCCCTGGAGGTGTGAGTAGGGCTTTGGACATCAATAATTTACAGCAAGGGCAAGGCGCGTGCGAACAGATTCGTACGAATACTATTTGGGTGTGTCGTCTTAAATCAGCATACATACTGCTGTGTTTTATTGGGTGCGGAGAAAGAACAACGTTAGCCGCGCAGACGCGCAGTCACAGCAGTATTTAACACCTTCCACCGCAGTTTCTTCTCGCCGCTACAGCAGTAGTTGCTGCCCTCTGAAGATTTTCTGCGTACAAGTTACACATAGTTTTCTGGGCATTCGCATACGATCCACAGCCGGTAGCACTGGCAAACAGCTCACTTGATCATGATGGACAAGGACAAGCTGCCCAGTTATTCCGTCGCTTGCAATACCCATAGGCGCGCAATTCGGACTGACAAACATGACACATGAAGATTATTGGCGACTTGTTGAACTAGAACAATGCGGCGAGACACCGGCCAGTGTATTCTACACTTCAGAGTACACAACAGCACCACAACACACCCGCTCTATTGAAGCAACTGGACTTGGACAGCACATGCACAGCAGTGTTGCTGTGTCACGTTTGAAAGGCTGCATGCCCAGTTATCCTGCACGAGTTCTCTGTGTGCACCTCTCTCTCTCTCTGTGTGTGTGTACTTCTGTCTCTCTTCCTCTTCCTCTGCCTCTCTCCCCCTCTCTCACCGAACGTAGCGGCGGCGGACGAGATCCAGCCCGCCGTCTTCCTGCTGCTGCTGCCGCCTCTGCTGGTACGCTTCTGCTTCGGTGAATCTGCCGGAAATGTGCGATAAGGCCGCGAAAGCTACGCAGGTACCCGCCTGTGCGCAGCGTGTCGTGACTCGTTCTGGCGTTGACTTGAGCCACCGACCTTGACCGGGGCTTCGCACTTGCACTTGGATTGGCTGGAGGCGGAGTCAAGCACCGGGTCCTTTCGAGACCTTGGGTAGGGCTGACGGCGGAGCCACGTGAACCCGCCGGACGACAGGATGTTTGAAATCCGTCGCCATTGCAAAAGGTCCCCACCAGCAGCAACAGCTGCAGCTTGAGTGCCATCCCTCTGCCACACCAAGAAGGGAGGGTGGTGGGCAAAGGCAAAGGGGAGTGCCGCGGGGGCTCAGAGGTGGAATGAGCTGTCCATACCATCTGATCAGCACACAACAATACGTCGACGCCGTCGGGGCACGTCGGAGAATGTGTTCCTACGGGTGGGCGGGTGTTCGACTTTGCAAATGTTAGGCCGGATTGGCACGGGGGCGCCCGTCATGATCGAGTCGCGTTTCCAACACCAGCGAACAACTGCTGTTTCTCCTGCTGTGTCATCGAGCCTGTCGCACACACGATCAAGTAGGATCACAGGTAGGTCACAGGTAGGTCATATACACGCCATGAACCATGAACCCATCGCGAGCTTATCCTGGACTTGTTGAAAAAAGTTGATGCAGCAGTAGTACACGTAGCCTGGGTGGTCAGTCATGTGTGTGTACCACATGGTGGGGGAGGACCAATTCTAGTCGCACCTCTACACTGACTGTAGGTTGCTCTTGATATTCATTTTGACGTTGGTTGAGGCCGTGTATTGAAGTTTATTTTTGTCACCTAAATTGAATGCCTAAACTGGATGAACCAATTTGGGTTTTCGGAGAAAAAGGGCTTGCGTTGTTATAGCGCATTTTTGGAACACCGGAGTTCAGCAACACCCAAATGTGGCGGAATCGCTGCCGCGAGGTGACGTGGTGACCCAACCAGGTACAGCGATAGCCATGTGCACTACACGGGAGCCGTAAATAGATATCAGCACACACACGAAGCTAAGCATCAGCAGGCGGTGCCAGCGGTCCAAGCCTCATCCTCAGGCTTGCTCTACAGTTGGCGCCCGCAGTTGAGAAACGCTTATTTTAGGCCCAGCCTCGAATTCCTATTGTGGGCTATAACCTCAGCGTATGTCGTTCAGTTTCGTATTTCAAGTTTCTCATTTTTTCGTGCAGCCAAATCCTGCTGAATTTCGTAAATCGGCAATTTCTTATTTCTCTGCTTGCATACCCCCCTCATGAGTGAGGGCTGAAACTAAACAAATGCATAAACACTGCGTGATGCCTCACCCGCACGCTGACGTGCCAACAACGAAAACTACCCCGTCATTATGTTGCAAGCTCCGTGAGGCGAACAGTGGGGGTTGTCACCCTTTTGCGCCTCCCGCTCCCTTCCTTTGGGTTTACCTCTAGGAGAACCCACGCCCCAATTGCGGCGTCTTCATCCGTGCTGCATGACTCCAACGGCATCTTCATGCTACGCGTGCTTTCGTCACAGCAGTGCAGGATGACGCGGTAGTCGTACTCCTGCCGCGAAGCGGGGTGAGATCTGCGACTAATTACCCCTCCGAACCAATACAACCCGAGTTTCACGAGAACCCCACGCTTCACTATCGACTGATCGAGGGTCGGTGGTGGAGACGCCTGGAGTCGAAACCCGTCCGGGATGTCCATCTTCAGCTTTTCTTCCTCAGGCGAAAATTCGTCATCGTCGTCGAGCTGGGTCAGCGGGTCCTTATCGTTGTCATCGTCTCCTGACAAGGCACAGCGGAGGCATCGTCTATTGTTGTGACGATTCCCGAAGCGGGGACAATATTCCAACACTCATTATTGTGTCAACAAGAGGAGCTTTCGTCCGCAAGGGTAATTCTTCTGTGCTCCGAATGAACGCGAAATACAATATCAGTTAAAGTCGCTCTCATCATCGCTGGAAGAGGCGTCCTCCGACAGCTGGTCCACGTCAACCTTGCCGGTGTCCCCATCCTCCTTGCCCTCCTCATCAGCACTGGCGCCACCCTCCACATCCATGAAGGAATATGCGGAAAGGCCCTCGAGGTTGATTTTGTCGTCCCCAGAGCCATCCGTCATCATTCCACATCCGGTTTTCTCGAAGGGACGGAACCGATATTGCTCATCTTTATCGATCTCCCCGGTCGCCTGTGCCACCCAACTGGTAAGCAACACGCGACGTTCGGAACACGTCAGTGCTTTGGCCTCCCACTTTTGCAGGTTGTATCCGCTCTCCAGCCACTTGTCCAGCTGCACCCCCACAGCCACCTTCAGCCGCCGTCCATAGCCGGCGTCGATCGGCTGGACCTCGTCCGTACAGCCTGCCGGCAGGTGCCAAAGAAGCGTGTTGCACTCCTTGTGGAGATACTTGCGGAATTCCTCAGTCGTCTGCCCGTGCAGGTTGTCGGCGAGGAAAAGCGACTGCTCCTCGGGCACCTTCCCGTCTACCATTCGGCTCGGGCGAAAAGAGCGCTCCAGCCATTGGATGCAGAAGAAACGACGGTTGCACTTCGTACAAGGCACTGTCGGTTGAGGCGGTGGAGGCGCGGCGAAATTGATGTTCGTGATCTCCTTCGTGCTGCCTTCCCCACGCGTACGCACCACCTGCACAGAGATGGGGGAGGAAGGGCATCGGAGGGCGGTGGTATTGTTCATTCCTGCTTGAGTTTATTATTTGTTGTTTGAAAGATAGCAACATATGCTCGTTCAACAAAGAGTGCTGCCGCGGGCAAGGCCAGCACAGCAGCATGTAAGGAGACGCATGTCGGAAAGGGTTGACAAAAAAAGAGGCGAACCTGGTATGGAGGCACGCTGGCGACTTACTGCTACAGACATGTTCTTGCCAATAGGTGGTACACTTTTCGTGCAAAAGCGGCTCAATAATCATATTTATGCGGCATTTCAACAATAATATTAAGTGTTGGGATCATTCACGTGGTTCACAGCAGCACCGGTATGACGCAAATCGAAGTCAAAGAAAAGCAGAAAAACTCACGCAAACCGAACGAGACACTCTCAACACAGAGCATTCGATGCCAACATTACATACATGTAGACGCAAATGTGTATTTTGGACACCCAAAAAAACGTTAGAAAAAAAAACCCGGTCTGTTCGCATCTCGGTGGCGCTGAATATATTTTCACGTATCGCGCGAGACCGAAGTCGGCACACACAAACATATTCGACGCACCGGTTTGGCACTGCCTTTGGCGAAGGCATTATGATGTTGTGGGTCCCTGCCGGCGGGTTCGATGCTGCCCTCCCCTTTTTCTTGGCTAATGATGTTAAAGACGATGGTGCCTTTCGCTTCTGCCCCACCAGCTGCTGTGCGCTTGAACCAGCAGCCGATTCAGGAGGGGTTGGCACCGGGGTCTTTTTCTTGAGGTGGGACACCACATGTTCTTTGAGATGCTGCACATGCTCCTCCAAAGTAAGGATATCGGAAGACCTCAAACTCCGCAGCTGCCTTTCCAGATATCGTGAGACAGAGGCTCGTTGTTTAGAAGGTGCTTCTTGATGTGCCCGAGCTGGCTCGTCGACAGTTCTTGTTGATCTCTGAGGGTGACCAGCTTGGTCAAGCCCTCACGAGAGCTGGCGGAGAGAACCATCAAAGCCGTGTACAGCAGACAGCATGTCGTGGTTCGCAGCCTGTCTGGTGTGCTGTGCCAAAGCTTTA